TACCCCTCTATCATGAATTGCCAATCCAGCCACGCCACGTCCGAGAATTGGTTGAGCTTCGGCAGTCCGTCACCAGTAATTGGCGGCGATACTTTGGTCTTGCCTGCTTCCCTGGGACTTGTACGGTCCATGCCCATAATGACTCCGTCCTTGATGTTGAGTGAGAAGGTAAATTCAGCACCTGTGGATCGGTATTGCTTGCCATTAACGTCGTATCTTTGATCCTGGAGAGCCGTAATGTATATAGGCGTGAAGTGTTGATAGTTGACGATGTGGTTCTGGCCTCCCTGGTATCTGCTTGCATCTGGGTTGATTCCGAGACTCGCGAGAGCGTCACCGATACCCCATGTCCTATAAAAGTCGAAATAATAATCGTCTACGTGATCGAGATCATGAAACATCCAGTTCCATCTATGGAGATCACCAATAGCCTGGAACGGTGATGCTGCCGTGGTACGTCCTGGGTCGTACTGGGGTCCGACTTCGCTGTCGTCGTGGCTCATCGCCCACGAGAGCATGCATCCCTTTCTCCTGCACCTATCCCAGACCTCATCAGTCGCAGGTTCATTTTGTGGATTCGGAGGAGGCCGATTTGGCAGACCGGGCGGAGGAGTTCGAGGGGGCGGAGGCGGAGGCCCAGCGGCGGCGAAAACCTTGCCCGGCGCCTCGAGGATCGTGACATTAGTGGATAGACGATCATCGTTTGAGCAGCTGAATGTTAAAGTCAGCTGCAAGGCTTAAATCAGAGCAAGACGCCGGTACAGGACTATCAAGACCACCGAGACGGAAAGTGGAATGCTTGGGTTATGCCTACTTTTGACAGATCTCGCCTGCAACGGCAGCGAAAAAGGCAGCAAGCCTGACGAATTGGCCGATCCGCATACTTTCCAAGTTTGTTGCTGATGAGTGTAAGGTGAGAGAGAGAAACACCCGGGTGGTGCTGGAATCAGACGCGGGATTGAGTCTTTTTTTTTGTGCGTAACTCCCGCCTTCACCTTCACTGCGCATGGAGTGAAACGAAAGAAGGCGACAGAGATCCGGGCATTTCCCAGAGCTTGCAACACTGGAAAGTGCGCCCTTGTCGTGTAACGTCTCCCAACGATCTCGGTTCGCGGGTTGTTCTTTCCTCTTTCGCCAACTGAGTAGTTCGTCAAACAGATCCACATACACACGCGCCTACCTTCCCTAGGGGTGACGAGAAGGGCTGTCGATAATCGCCTCGCAATTTTAGGAACAACAGCGACCTATAAAAAGGCTGACATATCATATCTGACTATTAACATCTTCCACAGTAATCGTCAGCCCTCGTGGCTGATGATGCGCAGGAATAAATATAGGGTATCGTGTAACGCAAAGAGCCACCCATTCGAAGCAAAGAAACAAGCTTGGAACCAGATCAGATGTTCAGTTTACCTCCCAACCAAAAGCCACCAACCCACAACGCTCCCCAAACCGGCTGAAAGAAAGCTCGAAGCACCGCCGGACCAGGACAAATTCCCGTCAAGCCCCAGCCAACACCAAAAGCTGCAGCTCCGACAACGAATCTTCTGTCCACATCTTGCAACGTCTTCGTAGGTAGCGAGAACTTGTCGGCGAACGATGGCGGGTTGGCGAAGCCTTTCATCTGGTTCTCGATCAAGTTGGGTAGAACGCCGAAGAGTATGACCAGAGCGAGTGACGGGTCCCAGTGCTGCAGATCTGGGAAAGAGAAGAAAGCGGCCACCTTTTCGGGATGTGACATTTGCGAGATGTGAAGACCGAGAGCGAAAATTAGGCCCGAGAAGGACTGCGTGGTAAGGCGTGCAGCAGTGTGTGTATCTGCGGGCTGATGTTTGGCGTCCTTGGTTGCGGGCGCGACCGTGACCTGGGCTACGAGTTTGGGTATGGTTCGCGCGGCGAAGATGCTGAATACGGCAAGTATAAGAAGAGATGCAGTTGTCTCGGTTGACGGATACACAGGCGTGTAACACGGTGCACTGCCGGGGCACATCGGGCTCGATAGGCTTGGATTGACGAGGTGATGTGTTATGATCGCCGCGGGAAAGAAGGTAGCAACTGCGATTGCTGAGCGTCCACTCAGTCTGGGGAGTCCACACAGCATGTGTCCTGAAGTACATCCATTCGACATCTGGCCGTTCGCGTTAGTGGTGAGAGAGTCAAGTACCAAAGATCTCTTACCTTTGTTCCCCATCCTATCAGAGCACCAATCGCTAGCGTAAACAGAGCACTCTGTGGACTGGTCTGTACAGCAGGATACTCCGTGATCAACTGCGGTGCTAATGCCTTCAACGGAACATAGCTGGCAGCCATGCCCGTAAAGAACGCGAGCAGTTCCTTCGTAGGCGCGGAGAAGAGTCGACGCAGATAGCCGCTGAGTCCCAGAATATCGCCATTCTGATAGAGGAGGTTGCTAGTCGCTTGGTGTAGCAAAAAGGCGCCGATGGAAGTCTCGACGGGTGTAAACATCCTCTTGATACCGGTATTCTTGCTCCGTCGGGTCCCGTCCCTTAAAGAATCTTGCTCTAGCGAAGGACTCGTCCCGTAAGGCGCATCAGCAGAACGAAAGCAGCAAGACCAAAGAAAACCCCTGCCAGCGAAGGACAAACAAGCCGTTTGTAGACCACCACCTCATTATGAAGGACTAGGTCACTAGACCAGATCTTCCCTCGCTAACGGGCCCATGTGCCAATCGCCGTGTAGACATTTTCCCTAGTCGCCGACCTCACGCTGCAAACGAGGACTTAGCCGAGAATGCAATCATCCCGACGATGGATATATCGTGGAGGCGGACTGGTGGCGCCCCGGCAGCAGATACGCATACGCCCCTAAATTGACTAGCATGGGTACTAAGCGTGGCTCGCGCGTGGTAGGCGCGTGGGTCGTCGGCGACGAGAATGCGCCCCAGGGATGGCACATGGGAACTTTACCCGGTTCATGGCTTGCGCGACTGCATGGCGAGGCTTGCGTACCCGCGAACATGATGATGTAGAGTCGACGAGGCGTTTCACGATGTGGGATATCGTATGATTTCTGCGCTGAGGGCAGCGAGTGCGAGTGTCATCGTGCTCGGGGTCTTGGAGGGTAGTCGGCGACCGAAACCTCGCACCGTCGGAATTACCACGGCGTTCCTTCGTCATGGAATGAATTACTAACGTGGCCCGCTAGGTCAAGCTGTGTGGGTGTCTAGATGGTTTCTAGAAGGACTCCGTGCGACGGACGGATGCGAGTGCCGGGTGGCGGCTACCTAGGTACTGGCGCGAACTTCATCGATGGTCCGTCACGGCGGCGACTGACTTCGATTTTTTGTCACTTCTTCTCACGAACGATTGTATACATTTGTTGAACAGCTTCACATTGCTGCATATTTCTTGCATACGCGGCCCGCTTATCTGAGATTATTCTCCGTGTCAGATCTGCATGCCGCAGCTACCTCGCCGACCAGAATGCCTGCAATGGGAGCGATATAATGCTTCTCGAAGATGAGCAAACATGCCAAGTACTCAACGGACACCGACACACCGCACCGCTGCGCCGAAGTGTGCATCTGCTCCGATTGATTGCGTGGTCGGTCTGCAAGCCAGTCGTCGAACGCGCAGCTCAAGATCCTCCTCATTTGTACTCTTCAAACTACTCCTCCAACCATGGCTCCGCCAAGTGAACCCTCAATCCATGTCATCCTACTAGGCCCCCCCAGTTCGACCGTTGGCAGCCACTCATGTAGCCTCTCCTGGACACATCAATCGCCTGAAGGGTGCATATCCATCTTGATGAAGCAGGAGATCAAACTACATATATCCTGAGTCCTGGCCACCTACTCAAAGCCTCCAACCCCATCTCACGCAGCCACGCAGCCAGCAATACACCTTTCTGAACTCCCATCCTTCCCCTCCTCCGCTTCATCTCAAACTCCTTGGTAACCGTAATCCCGACTTTAGCTCTCTCGCCATAGACCTCAGGCCACACATGTATAAACGCAACATGCTCCTCAACACCGACCCACCACTTGTTATTCTCCCTCACGCTGAACACATCACCAAAAGCAGTTCGCGCGTGTTCGGGGAGTTCGAAGTGCAGCTTCAAGGACGGGGAGTTTTTATATGCCTTCAGAAAAGGGAGAATGTCGATGTTGGGTGTTGACCACGAGGACTCTCGGACCGTGATGCGTACGTTGCCTAGGGGAAGGATGGGAGGCTGTTCGGGATCACGCGAGGCGGTGCTGAAAACGAGGGCGTCGAGCGAGATGGACATTGAGTGGTTCTGTCGATAAGTAGCTTCGTATTCTTCTCGTATTTGATGGCAGGTCTGAGTGAGGCCCATATCGTAGCGTTTTATGGTGTTCCATTCTGGAGGTTCGTATAGAATGTCGTCTTTGTTCTCGTAATACAGCACGATCTGGTGTGCGGGCGTGTGCAGGTAGTTCGCGGTCGAGGAGAATGATGTGATCTCTGAGTTGATGGGAGGGTCGTGGTTTATACGTTCATTAGCAAGGTATGAATATATTTTGTTCCGCAGTTCTATGCTTGTTAGTGATGCGCTTGATGATGACGGTTAATGTGTACTTACCACCGGACAGAGAAAGAAAACCGAGCCTTGGGCTTTCTACCGAGAGATTTTGGAGACCGGCGTTGAGTTCCTGAATTGAAGCGAGGGTATCGGTCTTTTGTGGACGAGACATGTTATATGGTAAGCAGTTTGCTTGCCTCGATGGGTAGAAGTTTTCAGGGTGGTTTGTGATTGATAAGGTATCCGAGTTGAGCTGAAGGTTAGCAAGAATTGAATAGCTCTCCACAAGCACCAGTCGAGATAGTGGTAGTGGGCATTGTTTTCACTACGCCTACTTTAGTTACACTAAACACAAGGCCTGCGCGTGGCGTCCATTTCACCTTCCAGCGTTGAAGAGCTACAAGAACCTCTCGATGAAAAGCCCTGTTCCCGTGGAACCATATCTTGGTCTCATACAGATCTATCCCCCCTTGGATGTAAACACATACGACATGCCCTCATTCACTGTCGAGCTCCGCTGACGTCGCAGAATCTTCCGGAACTATATGGCCAAAGTGATAGAGGAGCGAACTGTACTTGCCACTATTCCTGTTGAGACCAACACGTTTACTCCATTCCATTGCTGCGTTGAGATGCTCAGTCTTCTTGTAGAAGTTGAGACCCATCCAGCTTTCCGCCCAATCTTTCTTGACCACGATTGTGGTCTTTAGACCTTCATCCGTACAACTGCTGATGGTGATCTGAGAAAGCGAGGTTGCTGCGTAAACATTCCAGCGGGGGTTGTAATGGGTGTTGAGGAGCGAGTTGAACAAGCTGTTCTGACGGAAGTCATTGGTGTCTTCGTTAAGAAAGCGTGCAATCAAGCGTGGCGCCCGAGCGATGATTTTGACCAATGGGAGTACATTGACGGAAGGACGTGTTGCTAAAACCCTGGGCCTCAGCAACATAATACTACCGACCACATCGTCGTAGGTGCCATGTTGTGGATCGACGAACGTGGAGATGTACTGATCGACCTGGTAATATGGAAATGCGATAGTGGTGGTTCTGAGGAAGATAGGCAAGAATTCATCGCGGATCTGTTTACAGGTTCGTGTGAGACCTAGGAGCGTACGACCTTGAGCGACATAGTCGATGTTGTTCTTAGTGAGGCGAGGGTCGTGCAAGAGCTTCACCAGAATGCTCTGCTCAGCTGCATACTCGTATATGTAGTTCCGGAGTTCTTCAGATCTGATTAGCAACCGTGAAATCTGGTTCTGAATTCTTGACTCACCCCCAGACAAGTCCAGAAAGCCGATAGCTCGACCTTGACAACGCGATGCGGGCGTGGGCACAACAGCTGCGCAAGAGTCACTCTCGGTTTTTTGCATGGTATAAGAGGCTTGTCGTGTAATAATTTTTAAGGCAATGGGCTCCTCCCAGTGACTGCGAAGTAGACCGAAGAGATCAGAGAACCGAAGTGAGTGAGAATAGCAAGAGCGGTCTTGGCAAACCACCTGACGCGGAAAGTGGGTCTACAACAAGTGAGGAAAGTGCGTTTGCGTTTGCGCAGGTGAGAGATTGATGTGTAAGCTAAGGTTTGTAATTCAGAAGAGTCCCATGGCAGCGACATCGGAGCCACATAGTATTGTACTCATGGTTGGGATGGAGCCAAGTAAAGCGTACCAGAATCAAGGAAAGCGATCCAACCAAACCGAAGACATTCGATTGATGTGAAAGATCTACGAGACCGGCTCGATTCGATCTTGTACCGTAAATCGTTTGAGACGTTCAGTATCTGCGTTAATACAGCCGTATCGTCGTCCAGTTCGTCCTCGACGTATCATTCGTTCAAGATGCTCAATATACCTCACCAAAGCCCTTTCTCTCGGCGTCTTGCATCTTGTCAATTTCCGTCTCGCCAATCTTCTTCTCTTCCTCCCCGGCTTCCCTATCCTCCTCACTATTCTCAACGATCATGTTGCCTTTCAACGCTTCCGTGAGGATTGGTTCTCCTTCCTTCTCCTTCGCGAACGCGGTGTCATCGCTGGTGGCATCGCCGTCGCCCAGTCTATCAGTCCTGACGCCGTTACCCATGCCAGATTCTTCTTTCCAACTCTGCTCTGTCTGTTTGCGCTGTAGTTTGCGTTCTTTGGACTGTCTGCGCTGCGTAGAGCTTGCTCGGAGGAACTTGCGGTGTTGTATTTGTTGCATACCCGGGAAGTAGTCAGAGTCATCAGAGAAGCCCTCGCCTGGTGTTTTGTGAGGTTGTAGATGGCGGAGGACAGCTGCAGTTCTCGGCTGCGCATGGCTGCCTGAGCGTGACATGGACGATGTTGCTTCCCCTTCGTCACTGCTTGTAGCGTCGTTGGACGCATCGTTTGGAGATGCTGGCGTTGGAGGCATTTCCGGCATGGTGGCACCCTTAGTACTCTGCTTTCGCGAAAGCTTTGCCGGCGACGGCTCGTTGATAATGGGAGCGTGTTCGGTCTGCTGCGCTGCAACTGGGTGGTCCTCCTGTTCGCTTTCTACAGGCTCCATGTGTGAGACTGCCGGTGGGGGCAGCTGTTGCGATTGTCCCATGTACTCCATAGTGTTCTTGCGCATCGGTCGACGGGGGTAGTTGATCTTGTCATGGTCACATCCGTTGACGCATCCTCCCCATCGGCGCGTGGGTATGGTGGGGGATGCGGTGATGCCTCCTTGGCCCAGGCCAGTCAAAGGTGTGGCCCTGCTCGGCGTCGATGAGGTGGCGCTTTTTGTCTCTTCCTTCTCCTTCGCAGCACGGCGCTTGAGTTCCGACCATGTTCGTAACTCGTTTTGGAGGATATAGCGGCCGTTGTTCTCGCTTCGCTTCATAATTATGAATTCGCAGTGGTTGACGTTACGGAGATCTTCGAAGTACTCGACCGACCAGTGGTACCTAGAGCATGTTAGTTCTGGACTATTGACCCAATTGTTGTGCGCCTCACCATTTCATAAGGAAGACACGCGACATCAGCCCGTGTGTGACCAAGACGCAAACACTGGGAAAGTTGTCGTCCTGGAACGATCTCCACAAGCTCTCATTGAAGCCACTGACTCGGTCGTATGCGTCAGCCGCACTCTCGCCATCAGGTATACGGTAGAAGAAGTGCCCATAGTCGGCCCTCTCCTGCCACATGCGCTCCATCTCGGCTGAACATGGCTGGAAGTTCCCAAAGTCCTGTTCGCGTATCCGGGGCTCTTCGAAGACGGTTATCTTGTTGCGGGGAAAGGGCGATGGTGTTGGGTCGTCGGAGGTCAGAGTACGGAGTATGCCTTCGGTCGTCTCGCGCGTGCGACGGTAGGGTGAAGTGAAGAACTGGAGGGTGTCGTCGGGCTTGAGCAGAGACCGTAGCTGTCGTCCTGCCTCTTCTGCCTACAATCATATGAGTTAGTCATGTCTCATCTCAAGTCGGATGGGACTGGGGGCGCACCTGAGTCCAGCCATGCTGGGTCAGTTTCACTCTATGGTCGGGAATGAACTGGTGGATGTCGCGATTCTTGTTTCCCTCTGACTGGGCATGGCGGATCAATATGATCATCTGCGAGCGAGTTAGCCATTGGCCTTGGTGGGATTAATAAAGTGGACCTACGCGGGGTTTCCCCATGGTGAAGAGAGTGGGATGTGTGTATGGTGTGGGTTTGGAAGATGATGTACGTGTCGCTGATATTATGCTGTACAGAAAGGTGTCTTGAAGGCAAGAAGGGAATATGTACAGCTGTGCAGGGAAAGTGCGATCAAGGGCGTTTCATGTGCAGCTGCAAGCCCAACGATAGCGGCGACTTCGCTGGCGCGAGTGGCCTGTTCCGCCGCCCGTAGCGCCCCCGAGGTGTTCGCCGCAAATGCTAGCGCGTCATCCCTCGCGACTGTTTCTTGGCCCTCATTCTTCACCACTTTTTCTGCATTGCGCGACAGCACACGTACACGCTGCTACTGCCCACGTTATCTTTTTGGAGTCGCATCACTCCGGGCAACCACATACGACGTCATAAACAAATTATCGCCCCCCTGCCAGCTTATCTACTGGCCAGCGCTTCGCATCTACCTCTGTGGACTCACCACAATGTCTGAACCCATCCCCGAATCGATACCCACCTCCGCCGATCCGCGCTCGCAGCGCCCAACGAAGAAGCGCGCGCTTACTCCCCGCTCCGCGCAAGCCTCAGAAGTCGAGGCTCTCTTCGCGAAGCCTGATCGCGATATCTACATCCCAGGCTCCAGCGCACTAGCCAAGTCCTCTCTACCCCCGGAAATCGTCGCCAATGTACAAGGTTCCAGTGCAGGTGCGGGAAGTGGCGAGTTCCACGTCTACAAGGCGAGTCGGAGGCGCGAGTATGAGAGGCTGAGGATGATGGACGAGGAGGTCAAGAAGGAGGAAGACGAAAAGGAGTTCGCCAAGCGAAAAGAGGAGCTGGAAAAGAAAGACAATGAGAAGACGGAGAAGAATCGACTGAAGAGGGAGAAGGCGCGACAGCGGAAAGAGAAAGCCAAGAAGGGTGGTAAGGGCGGAACAGGCAGCGAGAGGGATGGGACACCAGTTGCAGAGGATGGCAAGACGAAGAAGAAATTAGCGCCGAATGCGAATGTGCCAAAGACTGGCACCGACGAGGACGCAGATGGCAACAACGAAGGCGGAGAGGTCAAGAATGCGGAAGAGATTGGACTAGTCATCGAAGACGACGACTGAGTGGCGTACACACAGTCCGGAAGAATGGTTGCATGAGTGGAACAATAATCATGTTAATTCAGCAAAGCTCCATCAAGAGCTGATGGAGACACTCTTCACATTTGGGCCAAAAGGTGCGATGACATGGATTCCTCCCAAGCCTAGTGCTAACGCTCAATACAAAAGGCTCGTTACTGTTGTCGCGAGAAATTACACAACCCCCTATCCTATGCGATGCTGCACAGCAGCCGCGCCTTCTTCATATATCGTCCGTCGACTGTCGTCAGAAGCATTTGCATCAAACATCTGCAATCAGGGCTATGTTGCTTGTCAAGGATTAGCGGCACAACAGGAGAATTATGCAGGTGCGGCCCGGCAAAGTTCACGGCTTTTCCCATGCCAACCAACCACCATCGCTGGCCATCGCAGTACCTTGACGGCTTCATCTGTCTGGTTCACTGGCTCATTGCGACCGCATTTCATCTACTCTCTATAACATCCATATTCTTCTTCTTCATTTACCAATCAAGTTTTTGGCGACAAACGGTCGGGACTGCCTACCGGAGTCAAACTCCGATGAGATGCGAGAATGCGGGGAGTTCAGCGCTGCCCCTCATCAATCTACCTCATGTTCGATCTTGATTAGTCTTTTCAAGTCTCGCCAGATTTTTCTTTGCTGCCCAAGCAATGACGTTGTCGTCAATTGACATACCAGGTGTCTGAATATGCCGACTTGCCGATGTCCTCTGAGTTTACGCCTCGAGACCCACAAAAACTGCTCCTGCTAAGTTCTACATGAGCTCACGACTGACCGTCGTGGCGGAGACCCGAGCCGCACTGTACGCCATCGTTGAAGCCTCTTAGGAACGACTCGACGTTACTTTGTTATTCACAGCCAAAGAACTGTGCCGAGATCGGCTAAACAGCCCAGCCGCCTCATCTAGGAGAGACGCGTCCTCGATCTTAGTACCCAAAGTAAACAATCTCGATTCCATCCCCGTCTGGTTGCATGCAGTATCTATCGGCATTTGAGTACCATTGCTTCCATACAGCTCTACCTACAGGCCGCTTACAAGTCCGATCCAACGAGACATTAGAGGCCTCAGGCCACACGCTCAAGATCACCACTACCATTGGATCATACAGATGAGCTGTTTCAAAACACACCCTCACAGCGTTTGTACAACCCGTCCCTACCCTGAATCCAAAGCTTAATTAGACAACGGACCCGGCCACAAGCAACCGATAAATTGGCTCCTGTGCTACTCTCCATAAACACCCTGGCGCGACGCTCTTTGCACAACGTGTACGCAACGTCATATCCTCTCAACATACTCGATCGGCCCCAAACCTCCGCGAGTGAAAGAATTCTCCGAACTCTGGGCTTTGATAGCCGGGCAAATATGGCGTTGCTGCGTCGTTTTACAGGATATTAGGGTTCATCAACGTGGGCATGAGAGCGGAGGAACAGGGAAGGAAAGTAATCTATGCTGACGCATGGTAGCCAGGTACGCGTGTGCTCTGGAAGATGTGGAGACTGGGGATGAGCAGGAGTATAAGAGAACCTCGTGTCAGAAGTTTAAATCGACATCAACGAACAGCTTCTACTTTACTCATTCACTGAACTATACATCCGCACATCATGAAGTTCACTGCCGTCGTCCTTATGGCTGCTGGGTAACCTTCCTACCGAAGACTCCCCCAACACCCCAACTAACACCCCCCAGCGCCCTCGCCGCCCCCATCGTAGAACGCCAAGCCACTCCCTCCATGCCCGTCGGCATCCCACCCTTCCCCACTGGCCCCCGCCCCACCGGTCCCATGCCAACACCTCCCGGAGGCTTCCCCGCGTTCCCTACTGGCGCTCCTCCCTTCCCAACCGGCGGCTTCCCTGGGTTTCCCAGCTTCTCAGGCGGTGCGCCTCCGTTCCCTACTGGTGGCTTCCCTAGCTTCCCGGGTGGTGTTCCTCCCATGCCGACTGGAGGGTTCCCTGGTCGGCCTAGTAGAGGACCAATGCCGAGGCCTACGAGGAGTGTGCCGGGCTTTTGTGAGTAGATTGTGTTCTTGGAGAGTGTTGGGTCTGTTGCTGATCGGTTGTAGCGCCTATGCCTATGTCTACGCCTGTTGGGCCTCCGGCGTAGATGGTCAGAGAGATGTCAGGGTGGAGAATTGGGGTATCTGTTGAAGTCTGGCGGAAGAATGTGGTGAATTTTGTTGTATATAGTTCGACTGGAATATGATTGCGAATGATCTCACAGCAAGGCGCAGTCTCTTGTCAGCGTGAGCACGTGGTGATTATTCCAACTCAATATCTTCGACCGTCCATTCGCCAATCTGATCTCCAGGCTGGATCTTGCTTGAAAAGTGAACCATGTGTTCGTGTTCGACGAGAGCAGGAATGTGTGCAGTGCAGATATGCCAGTATCTCCCGCTAGCTTGCCTTCGAACAATGACCGGATGTGAAGATCCAAGTACTCGCCAAATATCATCATCTTCTCTGATGTTGCATTTTGGTATCAGACCGAAGTGTTGACTGTTTGTTATGATGCAAGATCTCCTACTCAAGTTTCGCAAAACATCTCGGATTGCGGCCCAAGCAGGCTCGTTACTGTTCTTGAGGGAGACCAGCAGATCTAGAATGTCATCTGCTCCATAGCCTAGGACTCGACTCGCCTGCTCTGGAGTCCTTCCAATTTCCCAAAGGTACGATAGTCCAGCCTGGATAGATTCATGATCATGATCTCGACCGAGATTCCCACCATGAATAGCCCGGGAGAAGTCCCGCGGCAGACCGATGTCAGTGTCCCCAAGGTATGTCAGTATAAGTTCACCGAGTGACGACTCCCAGAACTCAGCCACAGTCATATCATTCACGCGCGTATCTACATCAGAGACGATGCATTGCCGCACTGAACCCACTTTCATACCTCGGATGCATAATCTCAGATTGCGCATATCGACAGATTGCAAAGAACACTCCGTGTGTTCGAAGCGCTCTGACCCATGATCCGCATCCCAATATAGCGTGAATCCTTCAGGATTATTTCCCATCCAATCCTCTGGGATCCACGTTGGATTGGAAGTCTCATCATCTCGAAAGCTCATATGCAGAAAGTCGAGGTTCTGATGGTGGCTGATGTGGTATGCGGCTGCATCTACCATGACCTGCGCTTCAGTCTTGTTATAATCGACTTTAATGCCTCCTTCTTCGTAGTCTTTAGCCAAGTGCATAAGAGCGTACAAGCGATCTTGACCTTTGGACAATTCCATATCAGAACTAGTGAAAAGTATATCGATAAGCGGATCTCGATGCCCCTGTTCACCATGAACAGCAAACATCTCGGCGCTAACAGGCCTGACTGATTGCCCTCTCAACTTAAATACAGTATTGAGGCTCCATTTGCTGAAATGGTCACGGGAATCGTCATGGAAAACGTCGTCTATGGCTTTCTGAAAGCTTGCAGCCGCTACACCGTCGAGAGTAACGTTCATACAGTGTAGCATTAGTTTTCGCGCATTAAGAACCTCTTGCCGTCTAACAGCATGAAGGCGACCGCATTAGCTGATACTCTATAATCACGCAATCGTCAATCCACTTACACCCAGATACGATTCCAGTACCCATTGTTAAACATCGATACCAGAGGATCCCAGAAGCTGGGCTCATCACCCAGGCCACGGTGTTCTGCAACTGGGCTGGGTTTGAAGCTTTTGAGAGCTGCTACGGCCGCACTCTCTTCGTCGATCGACGGTTCATTGATCCAAATTCGCACACAGGAAGCATTGTGGTAGATGGTCCGCATCATGGCGACCTGTTCGGCTCGTTCCTCAAGACTATTCTGATTAATGCATATCGCATCGATCCATATCCTCGGTGGCTCCGGCCCTGCGAAGTCGCGCAGATATTCCAATGCTCTGGTCAGATTCCATGCCGTCGGTAT